GGTGAAAGGGGACCACAAGGTAGTTCCAAAGCATGCAAATCCTTATTCCACAGATGGACGACAGACAAAAACATAGTCATATCTAAAAATGATAAATCACATCGAGACAAATGTAGGAAATCGAAGATCCCTACATCTCTCCAATGGTTCCCAAACTTAGTTTTAACCCGGTCAAACCACCTAATGTACAAGGGTTTTTTGTGGGGAGGACCTGTTCGATACACTTTGGAGACAATGTTCAGAAAATCAATTCGCACCTCAGGCTTGTGAATAAGAGCTTTACTCTCTGAGAGGCTGAGGGAAGAAGGAAATGATCCGCCACAATAACAGATAGGACCTCCAAAAGCGTAATTTACATTATCAGCAATGTAAGGAATCAGTACCTGTGTCTCAGCAATCTTTTGAGAAGCTTCTTCCATCAGAGGGACTGGAGCAAATTTCTGTCCATTAATCTCTAGCAGGTTAGAGGTCACCGAGGGAAGTGGTGGGGCGGAGAAATCAGAGGATTTGGATGAGGTCGCCATTACAGTCGGTAGAGCAGATGAAGACGAAAGGTAGAAGACGAAGGTGCAAAGGAGAAGTGAGTTAAGTTCGTGGTAAAAAACAAGGGTAAAAAGGCTAACAAACGTTTAAAAGAAACCAACTAAGGTATTGGAAGCGACGAAGGCGAAGGGTAATTAATGTGGCGTGTGCAGTGTGACAACAGAGTGATTTGATATGTGACATAAAGCAAAGAAACCATAGAAAAACCCCAGAAATCCTAAACTCTAAAAGTTATTTTGGGCCTCCAAAACGTTTGAAGGCGGGAATCATTTTGTAAGAATATAAAATAAAAATTAATATTTATATTCTTCCAAGGGGGCATTTTGTTAGTAGGAAATCGATAAAGGGATCGAAAAACGAAGGAAAGAAAAAATTGAGGATCATATGATTGGTTAAAAAACTGATAAAGTGAAAAAATGGTTGGAAAACATTCGATGACCATGTAACAGTATGGACACATAAATCGAGAATTAGAATCGAAAATCGAAAGAGAAATATTTAATGTCTATTGTTGAAGAAAATCGAGGAATTAGAATCATGTAATGTTAAGGTTAAGGGGAATCAAAAAAGCAATGCAAAGTTCTCGAGATTTTGAAATCGAAATCGAGGGAAAAGTTAACATGCACGACCATCAAAATTCTGGCTAAGTTAGAAAGAGAGGAACAGTTAAACGCACACATAGAACATGAGAAGCAGTTTCTAAACCGTGGCAGAGATTGAAGGTCAAGGGAGCGGTTATCTCACGCATGGGAACGTGAAATACAGTTTTTTAAATCGTGGAACTGAGGGACGTGCATGATTGATCGTGGTGGCAGTTTTGTTAACTATTCTTAGGAGGTTACTTAAAAGGCGCTCTATAAATAGAGCAAAGAATGAAGGAAAGGGGGAAATTGGCAGAGAGAACTGAAACACTAGTGAAAAAGTCTCCCGGAGAATGACGAAATCATGAAGTTTCTGGCGATCTGGATTTCCATTTTCATTGATTGTCTTTACCGCTTTTTGTACTTTCCCTGGTAATTTATGTTCATGCAATTTATTTTGATGCAGTTTACGTTTAGCAACTTTAAGTTTCTGCACTTTCAATTCCTTGTCACTTACTTCTATGCAAGTTAAGGTTATGCGTTTAAGATCCTCGCCATTTACATTCCTGCAATTTCGATTTCCCGTTCTTTACTTTCCTGCAATTTCGATTCTTTGCCCTTTTACACTTAACACGATTTTGAGGTTTCCGCACTTTACATTTTTTCTGCAATTTAATATTCTGCACTATCGTTTGATTCGATATTTTTTACTGTTTTCTTTACTTCGCGTCTCTTAATAAAAAATACCAAAAAATAGTACTTTCGATTTGCATACTAATTTGCGTTGTTTACATTCTCATGCATTTTTCGATTGAAAACCGTTTGCTAGCCTAAATAAAAAGAATTTACGTGGTTAAAATTTGGTTAGAACCTAAGTCTCGATTTAATCGAAATCGATCAAATTTTCACCAGAAACAACACTATAACTCAATTTTATGTTTTTTCTTTCTTTGTTTTAAAAAAAATTATAATCATTATTGTTTTGATATAATAACTATTATTATTTTGATATAATGACTGCTTTGAAGACACTTACATTTATTTTGAATTTAGTGAAACTTTGACTAGTTTGTGTTATGAGTTTTTCACCTATCATACAGACCGATGTTAAAATATTAGTATTTTTTTTTATGATTATTCTTATTATTTTTTTATAAAGTTTAAAAAATTATGTCTGTTCTATGTTTTTGTATTTTTTTTGTGTTAGTTTTTTTTATCAATAAGGTGTATTATTTTTCTAATTTTTATTTTTAATTGTGTATAAATATTTCTAACCTATAAAAATATTTTCTTAATTTTATTTCTTAAAATAATATTTATAACAAAATTTATCCAATTTTTTTTTTAAAAATTATAACATTGACATGATAATGCAAATAAAATGTAGAAGAAACCAAAATTTAACAAGTTTGGTTTGTTCCACATCTTACCCCAATGAAAGGTTGGGACGAGTTTACCCCTACAAAATTTACAGGTCGAAAATCTTGGTTTGTCTTACACAAGTGCGGGCTTGCATGTTACGTGGGTCTGCTAGTATAATAATTTAAAAAAAGAAACTTGACACATCATGTAATATATACACTGTTTGTTATATTATTTTAGTATAATTTCAATCCATAAAAATCAAAATAAAATATAATAATAATATCTCTTAGCAAGAAAATTTAATTGTTATAAATTTTAATTGAATAAATCTTTCTTTTTTTCTATATCTTTATTAATTTAGTCTTTTAATTATAATTTCTCTATTTATCTTTAATATTTACTTCGAATAATGAAGTGGAGATTCATATAATTATGACATCATCTTTTCTAATTACAATTGACTTCAAACCAAATTTTTTTAAAAATAACTAAAAAAGATCTTATCATCAATAATAACCTAAAATTAATAATTTAACATTAAAAATAATAAAAACACAATAAAATCTCACATAAATAAATTAAATTGGATAATGTGAAAATCTATAAATAATCTATTAATTTAATTTTAAGAAAAAGATTTATACATACAACTCATTATAATGATTTAATCCTTATAAATTATGGATTATATATAATGAATATAACAAACTACAAATTTAAAATATTTAACTCATCTTACAATTTTTATATTAGACTAACCTGTTATGATGAAAAACAATACATGGGTTACTAGTGTGCTGCTTGAGGGGATGAACTAATATGAAGAGACTTACATTTGAGGAGAGATTATTGAGTAATCAAAGTATGAGTAAGTCTTACATTTAGTAAGAATGAGAAAGTTGAATAACATACAAGGAAGTATGACTCATACACTGTAATAAAATCGCATATTTCCGACGGATATTTACTGACGAATTTGTAACCGTCAGAAAATGAGTCATTATCGACGGATATAGAATTTGGTCTTACCGACGGATATATCCATCGGTAAAATAATAATTAGTTATCGACGGATATATACGTTGGTAAATCGTTGGTAAATTACCAATTAATTACAGACAGATATATCCGCAGTAAATTAACAATTAATTATCGACAAATATATCTATCGATAAATTCGTCTGTAAATTAACAATTAATTACCGACGGATAAATCCGTCGGTAAAATTATATAATAATTACTTAATATATTCTAATAAATTAATTATTCACCTAATTAAAAATATTAAATATATAAATATAATTTATTTGTAAATTATTATCAAAAAATTTAGTAACTTAATCATTAGAGTATCTGCCTTTAACTCTAAAGTACTCGGGTTTAAATCTATAATAATTCAAAGTTATAAAAATATAATGGACAATAATATATTGTGTCTAGAGTTGGTTTATGTTGTCACCCCAACTTTAGTGATATATGAAAGTCATAATTGAGGGTTTTTTTTTTTAATTTAATCATAAGCATGTTGCAAGCACCATCCTAATACATGCATTTATATTTTATTTCCTAACACTTAAATATTTATTGAATTTGTTTTTTATAATTTTTTACATAACATAGGTTTTTGTATTCCTTTTTTAATATTTTGTACATTATAATATTTACTTTACTTGATAACGATTTTTTTTACAATTTATAAACCAACAATCTTTTAGTATGAATCCAAATAATTAAACTAAATAATTGAAATATAATTTTATCATTTTATTATGGTCCTATTAAACACAAGCAACGTCACTTTCTTACTTGAGGACTTAAAAATATATTAATGCTTAATGGTATATCATACTAAGCAACATAGTAGACATCATTCTCTGGAATAGGATATGTACTTGTTCAGGAGACGAGAATATCACTTTAAACAATGAGAATTGTATTTGTAATATTGAATTTACATGGACATTTTTAATTACAAATATTCATTCAACCCGTGTCACTATTATTATATATCTCTCTTTTCATAAAAGAGAAAAAAAAATTGTCTTTCCCTTTTAACATAACATGTGTTCATTCATATCTCATTATTCTCATATAAATGCACGCATGCTTTTGAATGAAGATTTTAACGTAAGAAGAGTATTTATTTTACTGATAGGACCTGTTGAGGCTCAATGAACCACACACAAACATCATCATTCTTCTGTCACAACTGTCACGGTCCCGCCACCTTACCACCATTCTCCCAATCCAACTCCTTCATTCAATGTTATTCCACTTGGTTTCATTGTGAACATAGAAAAAAAAGAGTCTTTTTTGTTTGAGTCTCTCTTTCACTTTCACACCCCGCAGAGTCTCCATGTACCACCGCATCACAAAAAAACAAAGCCATTAAGGGAGGTGGTGAGAAAAATATGGAGCACTTTGTTGTGGTCCTCAGCTCACTCTCTCTCTTTCACTTTTCTGCCTTTATATAACTCCTTTGTCATCACCCCATTGGCAACCATTCTTTCATGGAGGGGTTGGAGCCAAAGGTGGTGGTGAGGAGCGAGAGGTGGAAGAGGGATGTGGCAGATTGTGGTGACAAAGGGTACGTTGAGCTGATGCAGGAGAAGAATAAGAAGAATAAGAAAGGGGCGGTAGGGAAGAAAGGGTGTGCTGCAACTGGTGGTGGACATAGCATGTTGTGTTGTCAAGCGGAGAAGTGCAACGCGGATCTGCATGAGGCCAAGCAATACCACAGGAGGCACAAGGTGTGTGAGTATCATGCCAAGGCTCAGGTTGTTCTTGTTCATGGCATCAGACAACGGTTCTGTCAGCAATGTAGCAGGTTTGGGGAGGTTCGACTTTTTGTGTTTTTCTAACCTTTTCTTCCTTTGTATTCTGATAACAAGCTTGTGTTTTTTCTTTATATATACAAAATCTAATCTTGTCAATCAGAAGCTAAAATACTTCTAGTTCTGCGTATTTCATTTATCAAACGTGGAGAGACTGTTGGATCCACGTTTTTAAATATGTTACAAAACTATTAATTGTGTTTTTCCTGTTTCATGTTGGTTTCTATTCTTGCTAGTTAACTTTGGTTCTTTTATGATAAAAAGAAAGACACAAGTTAGATGTTTTGCATGTGTATTTTTTCATTTTTTGTTAATCTTCTGTCAGAGTAGTTTTGTTTTGCTAGCTTGTGCAATACAAGTTTACAACAAATATTTTAGTAAGTTACATTAAGATGAAATTCTATATCTCTGGTAAGAGAATACCAAAGTAACTAGAAAACATCTAAATTTCGTTTCAGAAGGAGTGATCTTGAAATTTAAGGAGCATGGGATTGTTGTTTCCACTTTTTAGAGTTGGATAGTTTGGAGACATTGGATGCAAATCGAGTTTCAGTTAAATTGGTCGTTTTAAACTAAAGGGAAGGAAAATATTATGCACTTTCAAAGTGATTTTTGTAGTTGTATTCGAAAATCACAAACTGTTGAACTCAAACGATGATCTAAAACTGATAATCACACTGGCATGGTGTTCAAGGACTTGATTCTGTTACGCTTAAATTGTAATCAATCTAGTGTTACTCTTGTGATGTGATTGTCTAACGCTGTTTCTTCTGAAAATTCAAGATGTGTTTGAAGTTCTTCTTTAGCTAGAAACCAAAAAGTTAAATAACTTAGAAGACTAGTGATCTAATTTTGTAAGATTTTAAGTTGAGAATGGTGTATATTATTTTATATATTGACTCGTGTTTTATTTGTAAAATTATTTTATTGTTAAATCCCTCGAAAGACCTAACATTGAAAATCTTATTGTTAGTTCTCTCGAAATATCCTATCAGGGCTGATGGTTTGTTTGATATACTAGTGTGAAAATCTTATTGTTAGTTCTCTCGAAATATCCTATCAGGGCTGATGGTTCGTCTGATACACTAGTGTGAAAGATAAATCTCCCTTAGTCCCTCAAAATCTATAATCTTATTTGTACTTTCTCCCTATTTGGTAGGCCAAAATTGGCTACTAAGATCATGAATTGGAAGGTTTGGTAATGCTATTTTTGTTTATGCATCTAAAATATAACAAATTGTTCTGCAGATTCCACGAGTTGTCTGAATTTGATGACACAAAAAGAAGTTGTCGCATGCGTTTGGCTGTACACAATGAACGGAGGAGAAAGAACTCTGATCAATCTCAAGCAGAAGGGTCAAGCCACAAAGAGACAGAGGCCCCTCAATTGAAGAACATTGCTTGTGGTCAGGCTAATGAAAGGGAGAGAACTCATGCAGCAATACAAGAAAATTCTGCATACAAAAATTTCCAAATAAGATAAGATCTGCTTTGTCCTTAAGTTGCTCTCTCTCTTCTGTCACCTTGGGGATGAATTTGTACAACTATTCTATTCCTATGTCACATTCATGTTGAAGATAGCATTTAGACAAATAACTACAAAAATAAAACTAACATAATGGTGTTGCAGCTACCACCTTAATTAGCAGTAGAAATTATGCACTTTTCCCATTATGTTCAACCATTGTGCTTGGCATATCTTAATATTCTTTGACACCATAATGGTTTGTGTTTGCATTATGTGGCTAACCAACTAATTTCTCTCTCTATCATTATGTTGTGCTACTAACATTGGTTCATTCACTCTAATTAGCTAGTTTTTTGGTTAGAGAAAATAAAGCTACTTGATGCATATTTTCTCTCCTACATAGCTTTGTCCTACACTAGAGGTCAAGTTGGCTATGAGAATCCTTCTTTCAATTTGCTATGGGATAAGAAGATATGCGCCGAACGCACAATGAAATGAATTGCTTTTACATGGTGAAAGGCAAAATGAAAGAGATGGCCTTAACATAGAATAATGCCCTTTTTATATCTCCCCTATTAATTGATTCCTTCTGGCCCAAAACTGTTACTACAAGCTTAAAAAAAATGCGTAGAAAATAATCTGTTTTTGTTGATTAACAGCAGAATATTTTTTATTTTAGGAGAGATGAGAGGTTCATAATGTTATGCATTTTTTTTTTTCTTTTAGGAATGATTTTAGGGGAGGATAGTTTTACCCATGTCCTAATTAATGGTCCTTTATTAGTGTCCAGTCTCCACCTTTGAGAATCCAACCCAGGAAAATGACCTAAGGAATCAGATTTAAAACATTTCTTTTTTATTTTGTTCTATTAATTGAGTCAATATTGCTAAGGAGGATAGTTTTTTTTAGTGTTATAATTCTTTATAAATCTTATCACTTGGATAAAACTTGGAAGCAAGTGAATTTGTCCTGTTCCCATTGTTTCACGAATTCATCCCATTTTCACGGTGTTACGACGTAGAAGGATTTGATTTCCGTATGGTTTCATTAAATCTATTGTTTAATTCAGTTAGAAAAAAATAGCTTAACATTGATTCGGTTTTTATTTTTACTTTTTAAACCTAATCTAACTTAACCTATCCTCAATTTATTGAATCAAACTAAATGAGTCACAAAATTTTAAAAATATTTTATATTAAAATTATAATTTCAAATGATTTGATTTTAGAATTTTTTAAAATATTTAAATAATTTAATATTTACAAATATATTTAATTTATACAATAATTAAATATTATTATTATTATTATTATTATTATTATTATTATTATTATTATTTTGGTTGAATCGGATGAGATATACTTTTCAATATTATAAATTCTTACCTAATTTATAAATTATTTGGATAAGGTTAAATTGCATATCACAAAGAAAAATAGAGTTCATCAAGTGTAGATTTTACTTAGAATTTTTCTTGTTTTAAAAAATTAGGGTTAGAAATTTTGTGTGTTTTCACACTACTAAAAAATTATTTATTTTTTATAAATTTTCTTGTAAAAAATCATTTGTAGGAAATTTATTTCTGTTATTTATAAAAATATTTTTTAGAAATATGATAAGTTTTAGTAGTGTTTATCTTGAATATATTTAAATTTAAATCTTAAAATATTAATCATATTATTATTTTTTCTATCTTTCTTATATTACATATTATTTTAAGTATAGTTTCATATTTTTTATCTTTTTCTCATCAATTTTTCATTATTTTATCTTTCGTAATTTCTTTAACTAAAACTTAACACCTTACTTTTCTTTCTTTTATATTTTGTTTATTCACATTTTTTTAATCTTTTTCCTTAATTCAACAATTTGATTTCTTTGATCTCTTCAACTAATTTAATATATAAGATTAATTTTTTACTTATTTATTTTTTTCTAAATATTGTGTTCTGAGTTTAATAGCATATAATATCATTTTATTTATAATTGATCTTTACTATGTTTTGTTACGTCCTATTCTCTAAATTGTATTATTCTTCAAAAAAATATATATGATTTAAAAGAGTGAATATAAATTGTATTATTCTTCAAAAAATATATATGATTTAAAAGAGTGAATATAATTCTAATTTTTATGAATTTTGAATCAATTTTTTGAGTTTTCTCTTAAAAAGTTTTATATTGTTTTACAAGCTAATATTCAACTTTATCATCATGGTAACATAATATCATCAATCCCATAATTTATTACTTATTTTTTCATCTCTATTGAGTGTGAATATCTTTTTTCAAAGTAAATATTTTCGCATCAATAATTGTATTTTAAAAATTGTGAATTTTAAATAAGTAATAATTGATATTTTTATTATTTTACTTTAATTTATTAAGAATTAAAAAAAGATATCAAATATTTTTATATACACATTTTAATATAAATATAATAATTAAAAAATATAATTAATTAATAATAATATTTTAAAATTAAAAAAATTAATTTAATTACATGTAATAAATAATATATTAAAATTATAATATTAAAATTATTTTATTATAATTTTTATATAATTATTTTTTTAAAATAGTATAAAATGAAAATATGTGGAAGGTGAAAAATCTCGAAACTCTAAAAAGAAAAAGATAAATACTTAATTTTAATCCGATGAGATTTAAAATGGGAAAAAAATGATTAAAAAAATTACGAGACGAGGGGAGACAATGTATGAAAAGGAAAATTTAACCAAAGCTTTTTTTAATTGAATTAAGTGTAAAAAAAAAATCATGTATTTATGTTTATTAATTTTTCAGCTTTTGTGTTAGTTTGTGATAACAATTTCTGCAAGTAAATAAGTGTATCTCAAATTTGAGATGAGATACCGAGTGGAAGAGCTTTAGTATTTTGCATCCGATCATAAATTTAAACTGCATGCTCGTCTTTATATTAAAAAAAATACATGTATAATAAAAATTAACATATTAGTTTAAAAAAAAATATTATATTGTATTATCCAAAAATTATAGACGTAGACGAAGTTAAGAGATTTTTTTACTAAAATAATATTATTATATATTATATATATATATATATACCAAAATTTCTCATAAAATTATTTATTTAATTGAGTTTTTTATAAAATTATTTATTTAACTGACTACTTAGAATTCAATTTTCCGTAAATCAAAATCCAACTTTAAATTTATCATTTTTTTAAATAAAAAATTAAATAAAATATATAATTAAAAATAATAAAATTAATATTAAAAATAAAATTTTAATTTTAAAAATTCAATAATATTTATATAAAAAATAATAAAAATAATATATTATTTGAATATATATTAAATTATTTAAATATATTTAAATAATTATTAAAAATATTAAATAATAATTTTTTATTATATTATTTTATATTTTTATTTTTGAATAGAAAATTTAAAATTTATATATTTTTTTATTATATGAATTATTTAAGTTATAATTTTAGAAAAAAATAAAATAAATAAAAATTTAATTTAGGTAATATATTAAAAAATTAAATATTATATTATAAAAATTTATGTAATAGTTTTTATTTGATAAATTATAAATATTATATTAAAAATTTCATGCTAAAATTAATTTTTTTAAATAATAAAGTAAAAATATTATTTAATTAGTTAAAAAATATTATTTATTAATATAAAATAAAATAAAAAATATAAAAATTGACAAAATTTAATGTATAATATTAAAAATAACATAATCATTGATAATAAAAATTGAAAAATAAAATTATTGACAGTAATGTTAAGAAAATTTTAATCTTCAAAGTGATGTCCAGTTCCACAATGAAGACTTACATTTTGGATTTCGTCGGTGTGGTTGTTCTAAACACCACGTATTAAATTATAATATAATATAATAATATTATTTTAGTAAAAAAAAAAAAATCGAAGTTGTGATCGTGAAATATGGATCCCATATTAAATTTTGTTTTAAATATTATTTTTTGTAATTATTTATTTTTCATATGTAGCTATTTAAATAAGATTATTTTTTATCGTTGTGAGATATGTGAAAATAAAAAATAATTATTTATTTTTCATGTGTAGCTATTTAAATAAGATTATTTTTTATCACTGTGAGATATGTGAAAATAGATTGGGTCTAGTCAGTCATAATCACTTCATTTAAAAATGATGGAGTAAATTGTTAATTTGAGTCCGTTAACATGTTAGTATTTTCTGTCGTATTGTTAGTATAATTTTGAAAGATATTTATATATTAAAATAAAAATAAAAATTTTATAATTAAATATATTATATATTTTTTATATTATTAAAATATATAAATATATTATAATTCAAATTATAAAGTTTAATAAATTAAATTTAAATTATTAATTACAATAAATTGTTTTAATATATAAATATAATAATTTATTATATTTATCTAATAAAAATATTAATTAATAAATAATAATTTAAAAAATATTTATATAATTTAAGATATATTTTAAAATAATATATATATAAAAAAAATTATGCACGCACTGATTTACTAGTCTATTTGTCCACCTTTAAAATGATATAATAAAATCTATATCCTGTTTTAATTATGATCCATCTAATTTTTAGTAGAATGAAAAAAATGAGACGGACTACGTATTTTTCTATCCTTAGTTTATATTTTATTTCTGATTTTATATCTTAATTTTTCCATAATGATAGACATTATAAACTGTGTGGGAAATGGGAATGACTTTTTTGGGTAATGATTACGTTGCTTCTAACATGCATTTTTCTGATTCTTATACGTTTATTAATGTTGTTGTTATGATGATAACTTCGGTAGAATTTAAGAGTTAAAGGATCGCATTATAACATTTATGTACTTTCTGTTAAAATGCACACAAGTAACTGGGATCACATAACGACAGAAGACCAGCGCAGAAGGATCAAGGAATTGCAAGGTACAAGTACGCAGAAACATATTTACTCAAGATATTATAGTAATGTAACAATAGCTTTATTATTGTGAAATCACCATTTTTACAATAGAACATTTCAACATAAAAAAAAAAAAACAGAAAATTAAGAAAAAGTTCAAAAGAAAGCATCTGTTAGACTACCGAAGATGGTGGTGAGAGCGCCGCCACCGTCGCACAGAGGATGATGAGAATTGGATAGTGGATTTGTTCAACACGAACTCCAACAGAGATAACAACAATCATATTTATTCTTGTTTTTATAGTTTAAATTTTAAATTTCATGATTCTTACACAAACTTTCTCATTTCTTTTACTACATCTATATATTTATTTATTTATTTGATTGAGTATATCTTAAGTATAGTAGTGAAAATAATTTTCAAGTTAAAGATGATGATTAGGCATTTTCTGGAAGTGTCGATTTTGTGTTGGTTGAATTAAAGTGACGATATCACAACTTAAGAAATAACATGATCGAGATCGTAAAGTTCACCGCCACCAACCCATTACAGTGTCTAAGGTATTAGGGTTTGTAAACGAATTATTATCGAATTAGCTTGGTATGATTCTAACATTAAATTAAGATACTTCCCATTCTAAACCTAATTTTTTTCTTTGAAAACAAAAAGTGCATTATTCTTTCCCAAACCAAAACAATAGCAAAAAGAGGAGAGACGACAGACAAAAAAAAAAAGAGGATAAATAAATGAGGCTGCACCGAGTGAGGGAAAGACAACTTAACAAACGTAAGACACGTTGCTCTAAGCCTATTTACGAAAATAGGTTTCCAATGTACACACAACAACACCACCAAGCTTATTTATTTACTATTAATTATTTAACATTATCTATTTCATAAAATAAAAAATACAAATACATACCAACTCCTTGTTTGTTTGATTGACATTATTACCCTGAATTTAAATAAGGCCTTGACTTTGGGAAGGTCACTTTTCAGTAAAAAAATTAACTGTTTTTATTTTTAAGATATTATTAATTTATTTCATACATAAAGATGATTTATTCTGAAACCGTTTTTTTATATCATTGTTCAATATATTATTATTTTAGTTTTTTATATTCTTTTAACTATTGATTTACTTAATTTTTGCTCAAATAAAGTTTATAAAAATGGTCGATTCTTTCATTATTCTTAGAAATACTATCGATTACACCTTCTCTATCATTTTTTACTTTTAAAATAAAAGCTCTTCTACGTTAAAAAAAATAAAAAATACAGACACATGTTTCACTAGTTATTAATAAACCTTATAGATATTTTATATAATGTCATATAAACTAAAACGTACATTTATAACTTATTAATAAATAAATACTTTTTAATTGTTTACTTTTTATATACTTCTTACGATTTTATTTTTAATGTTTTGATAATTGATTTTATTGTAATAATTATTAAATAAACATATTCTTTATCATATTGACTCACTTTTATTATCGTCACAACACCAACAAAATAATTTGACTAGTATAAATAATAATAATATATTTTTTACTAATAGAGATACACACATAATAAGTGTTTACATTTTAAAAAATAATTATAAAAAGTAATTATCAAAATAATAAAAAATTAAAAATTAAAAAATTAAAAATGGTTATCAAAATATTAAAAATAAATTATAATTGAAAATAAAAATAATTTGGGAAATAAAAAATTATATAAGTGAAGATAAAATGGAAATGAATTAGGTAAAAAAAGTTACACAATCCAATCTCTTTATTAACAGTGAGAATAAATTATTTGATAAATAAATTATATTATCAATTTATTAAAATTTAATGTTTTCAATATTTTTTATATAATTATTAAAAAAATCAATAACTGTATGCTTTAATATACATTATTTACTTGAATACATAAAAACAATCATAATTTTTTTTCTCATCTCCCAAATAAAAATATATAAACTTTCAATATTAAAATTGCCTTATATATTTTTTAAAATATTGACAAACCTTTTAAACTAATCTCTAAATTGACACAAAATATTTTCAACACAAAACCGAAGAATATAGAGAAATTACTTGTCTAAGTAGTAATTTTATCATTTTTTATAGATTAATATCATTTAATATTAATAATAAATAAATAGTATATAATGATAACAGAACCAAAATCTCAATCTCATTCATCTTGTTCTTCTCGGGCAGCAGGCATAGCATAGCCTTCGCGAATCCCTCTCTCCAACCAGCAATGCCTGCCCAGAAGCGCTCCCTCCCCGACTCTCTTGACGAAGGGGACACTTCACACCACAACCTCTTCCATTCTCGACATGCGAAGCACCAACAACAGCAACAACAGGACCAGTCGCACGAGCACGACGAGGATCACCATCATGAAGAGGAGGAACAAGAAGAAGAAGAAGAGGAGGAGGAGGAAGAAGAAGGGGAAGGAGAAGAAGAAGAAGATGACGAGGAAGAAGAAGACGAAGAAGTAGAAGAAGCGGCGCATGATAACGACGACAAGGAAAAGCCACAGGGTTAAGTATCGTCTTTTTTTTTTTTTTATGTTCGTTTCGTTTCTTCGTGAATACGTGTTATATTCGGTGCCCCAGTTGTTTTTTTTCAACTGGGTCGCGCTTTGTTTTGCCTCTGCGATTCTTCATGTGCTCAAGTTTTCTTCTTTTCTCATTCGCAGATTCCGACGAAACCCCATCCTCTGGCTCTGAAGAAAAACCTGAGTACTCTCTCATACTCGCTCTCTCGCATGTGCATTGCTTCCAGACTTCTGTTCTGTGTTTCGTTGCTTACTTTTTTTGGATTCAAGTTTTGATTCCATGCCTCTGTTTCGGGATCGTGACTGCATGTGAAATTTGCCTTTTCTGTATGTTTTCCTCTGAATTTGAACGTTTGTGTTATGGGATGTGCTGGGTCTGCTCTGACTATGTAAATGGTTGATACTTTTTCGTCCCGTTTGAGTTGGGTTGTCTGAATTTTCTGAATCCCCCCATTTTTGCATGTTTGGATTTTTGTCTTGTTTACGCTTGAAACTTGTTCGTTCCTCAACTGCTCAAAAGATGTAGTTGTTTTAGCGTAGTTTTTTGTGATTGAATATATGAATCCTTGGTGTCATTTTCCATAGCGTTGGATTAAACAACAATCAGCACCTACAATTATGTGTCATTATTGCTACAGTTGCAGATTTGGAACTATAGTGTTTTTCGTAGGGAGGGTAGAGTACTGTTCATATCATGTGCATCAGATTGTTCTAAGTAGCCATATTGTGTTCATTTGTCCAGCAAGAGTTCAAAATCAAAACTGTTTCAGGCATTGTGATGGTGGCAGTGGTCAACTTTTGAATATCATAGGTAAGGTTTTAAATTGCGGTTGTAGTTTCATTGATCCTTGAAATTGTAGGAAACTGCGCACCAATGCGACTGGGGCAGCCACAATTACGGTCATGTGGAATCCAAAAACTGTGATGTTGTGGCGAAATCTCGATCATAGATTGTCTTTTACTATCTTGATAAAGACCTATATTACAAATAGTTCTTGTTGCTTCCCTGAATCTGTATTTCATAATTAGTAGTTTTGCTTAAATTGATTGACTTGTCCTCTGAATTTCTTCAAGTTGTCAAAGGTGAAAGGCCCACATGATGGGGCCTTGAGGCAATAGTGGCTAAAATGCCTATGTTTCACCAAATATAGGTGCCAAGATTAGACAGCGTTATATTTTTCATTTAAATTAACACCAAACTGGTTGTTTCTCATGCCTGATAGCCCAAGTGACTGACAAGTGACAAATAACTGGTTGTATTTTGTCATTCTGGCAATGTTACCCCACTCCTTAAGCATAACATTTTGGAAGTTAGGTTGTTTGTTACAGATTTTTCTCAGTAGTTAGTTCTTAATAAAGTGCTAAAGGTGTGCTTTGCCAGTATGAAAAAAGTGTGTCCAAAACATGTGACATAACCCAAGAGAAACTGACTCCTTTGCACGTTGATTTAATTCCTTAGATAGACACATCTTTATTATGTACCTTTGATTACAGCATTACACTGCTTTTCTTCTAGAAAAATTGGAAATCTTAGTAGTTTGATGCTTTGTCATAATGTTGAATGATGTCATATCGTGATTTGAAGAGAATTTTTCTATAATGTTTATTTTTCAGTGTTCATGAAGTTTTATATGGATGGCACGAGTACATTCACCAATAAAAAGAAAGATTTGGCTATTTTATACAGGAAGTGATTTAATACTTGTTTCTGTTGCAGTTAATATTCTGTAACCATCACTAGAATGATTTAGGTCTCTTCTGTCACTATCTCGTAGCTTTTACAAAACATTGTGAAGAAAGAACAACCAAAAAAATAGATCCATCAACAAACTATTAGACTTTTCAATGTATCTACATTGTTCTATGGTTATGTAAGCGTAAGTTTTGGAATTTGGATAAAGAATTGAAGGTCCAGTTTAATCATTTTTTTCTCTCCTTCTTATGAAAGGAGATAATGAACATATAAGAATGCTTTAAACAGTAGAAGTTCTTGTCAAAGATTTAGTACATTTAGAAGTAAGTAAGCTTAATGACAAAAAACCAAATGGGTTTGATGAATACTCTTAATTTGTGACAGGAACAGTGATACTTTAGCATACCATGTGAACTTAATTTATAATTTTTTTGAAGGTGGGATCAGTATCTGTGCATAAAGTAAGTCTCAATATGTTAAATGATACTTGGAACACATTGATGTTGTAAACAAAAATTTACACTCACTCAATCTTAGATTTCCATGTAATTGAAAATAGTTGTTCTGTTATAATTCGTTTGTATCTAAGATGATTTTAATTGTTTGATAGTATAAAAATATGACAATTACATCAATGTTTTTAAATAGCCTCTAGGGTGCTATCGCATAGTTGAATTTCGAATTTGAGGCTGCAACTCTGTCTGCTTTTGCTTCTGCTATTATTGTTGTGGTTCTGGTGTGCATCCTGTATCCTCTTGTCATCTTTGACAAGTTTTGGCCAATTGAACTTTTGAGTCAATATAAGGCCAATTTTTATGTATTTTGTTTTTATTTGTGTACAACTTTATTTGATTTCTGCTGTATGCCTGCAATGTTATCCGCTGTATGATATAGTAGATTATTGGGTTTGTAATTTGCTGCAATCTGCAATTGATAACATTGGTTTACCAAAACAGTGTAACAAATTAAGTTGTATATTAAATTTAGTTGCAATGGGATTAGTGTTGTTGCACTACTAGTATGTTGAAAATGCAATGGTACTGTGATTTTTTTTTCTTTGAAGAATCATTTCATTGATAAGTTTGTTGGAATGTAAATGTTACTTTGATAATATCTTATTTTATAAAACTGCATTAATATGTGATTCCTTAATCATAATATTTAACAGTTTTGAAAGAATCATGTCATTTTTAGTGGAATATGGTTCAGACTGTGATTGAAACTTGGGTATTATGGGTTGCCTAAATCCCACATTGAGTAGTATGGAATGCTTGATGGAGTATTTAATCGCTTGCTTCTCCCTCCTTAGTAGCCAGCTTTTGTAGTTGAGTTCAACGAGTGCTTGGTTACTTATCAATTGGTATTAAGAGCTGGTTTTTGGTGTCTTGAAACTCTGGTACCAACAGGGGGGCACTCTTAATTGCAGTGCTATATAGGAACTTGTATTATGAGAATAGTTTTTGCTACCGTACTTGTAGGTGTATGTTCCCTTAAATTGTTCCTTCTATCAATTTTATGTATATATATGCTAATTGTCTTGTACTCTTGTTTTGTTCGCAGATTCGTGTATGTAGAACTTCAGGAAATACGGAAAGATGTCCAATGTCCCATTTGCCTTGGTATGTGTTTTTGTTTTCCCTTTCAAGATGGGATAGTTAGGCATTTAATTAGTTGTGATTTTTATTTTCCTACAGTCAAAATATGGCGAGAGATATTTTGGTCGGATATAGATATGTTGTGTATATTTATCATATTGGAAAATTTGATATTGATTTATGCTTTTTATCTTGTGAGCTTGAGATTGTCAGTTTATAACTATGAGAAGGAAGTTTGATTGTTGAATTTTCAGCTTTTACAATACTTTATAATGGACAATAGTCAGGCTGTATTGTAGATAGAGATAGAGATATAGATGTATTATAAAAGAGAATTCATGCATCAGAGTCTAAGGAATGATTTAGTGAGTTAAATACAATGACGAATGTATCTATAAGAATAAGTTTTAGTTGGAATCAAATGCTAGTTTCATCCAATTTTGGAACTCCTTCCGTCATTCCTAATTCTATTGTACAGGATTTTAAGGCAGAAAATTTCTTTTATAGCCTGATGTTTGTTATGGAAAGGACAATGCAGTTGATTTCCTTGCGCAGCTATGAAGGAGAAGTTGAAGAAGTTAAGATTTTGAATTATCTCATTAGGACAAATTATCACCCTCCCATGGCGTAGTTATATAAAATTCCATTTTATAATATAATCATAGTTTTGCTTAATTTTATGTATAAAATTTTCACACTTTCTGCCTAGTCTTCTTTGTGTCAATTTTTCATTTGAAATATGTGAGGGGACCATATCACTTTTGTCATTGCAACACAAAGTACCCCAGAAAGAGTCAAAGGTAATATGAGGCCCATGTATCCTAGGTTTGTTATAGAAGAATGAATTAATTGCAATTTCTAGAATTCAATCTATCAAGTGGGAGAAATGAAAGATGGAAACCTGGTAGGGTTAAAACATTGAAGGCTGTTAAAATAATGCTAGTGGTTGAAAACCTAGTGATGTTTAAATCAAGGAGGCTGAAAACACTAAAATTTATTTATCTTTTTTAGATTTTGTAGTCTTGTGTTGTGCTTCTTTTAATCCCAAACTAAACTGTTTACTAGTGCCACTGCTTCTATGTTTTTCAAACATCGCTTTGTGCATGTTGTTGATGTCCAATCTAGTAATATAAATATATAAGGTGAATAACATTTCTTGTTTTCACATTAGCGGTCTTTACCAACACTTTAGACAATATTCTGGCTACTACCATTGTCTATGATCACATTGTCCTTTGCCAAAGTTTTAAACAATATTCTGGCTCCTGCCATAGTCTATGATCACATTGTCCAATTGAAGCCATAACCACCTGTCCATGTGACCCATGATCTGCAATAACCACCAACAACTTTTCTTGTATGTTTGCCCTATATAAACGGCTTCCTTTGTCTTCATGTGTGGATCTAACCTTTCATTCTCACCCTCTCTTACAGATACTAGCTTGAATGTCAAAGTCTTTTTAAGATTTGTCCTTAATCATTGTGCTGTTTTCAAGTTTGTTCTCGCCACTCATTGAGATCATGTCTTTCATGTTAAGTATCCACCGAGGTTCACATCAGCGACCAATTTTAAACGGTTCAGTGTCTGAATATTTTGAGTTGTCTTGAACCATCTAGTTTCATTGGGGGGCTAGCTTACTGCTTTCCCTTCATCTCCTTCACATTTGGCACCCTCATAAGTATCTTCTTCGAATAGCTGCTCCTTGTTATAACCAACCTCCTTTGCTAATTGACTATTGGTAGGTCAATTATTTGAGCAGTGACTAAGTTCGTTGCATTGAACAATTTTCTCAGAGTAGGGCATACATAAGGGTTATTAATATTAGCTTGTTGGGGGTGGTAGATTAGGTCGAACAAGGGTTAGGTTTCCATCTGGAGTTGACATTGAAATTTGAATTGAAGGCATGGTTCTACCAATGCTTTAAGGTACAGACTACCCAAGCTTTATTGAAGCCACATCTGTAATTGGTGCGGGCCTAAACCTTCTTCACCTTTGATGCTACAATTAAGGCAACCCCCAAAGAGGCTGCGACTAAGGTGGACTAGGCACAAATGCTTAAAGGGGATTTCCAATACCCCTCTCACATCTAGAGCTATAATCCTAGAGCGTGGCAAATACAGGTGACCCAACAATAGATCTAGGTTGACTTTCATACCATTTTGAAATTGGTCTTATGTCCTACCTCAATCTCACAAAGTCAACTTGTTAGGTGAAGAATACCCAAGCTTTATATACTTTATTTAAGACATACTTCTTATTGGTGTGAGACCTTTAAGGCTGCAATTAAGACAACTCCTACAGCGGCTGCAACTAAAGCCAGCCAAGGGTGTCCACAATTAAGCTGCTTTCCAACAAGTTTTACTATGGGTCAAACAAAAGATCTGTTTTTTTTTTTTTTCAACTTTCATTGCCAAATTAAATGCATGGCTCATGATCCATATTCCATTAAGAGCCAACCAATCTTTAATGACCATCTTAAAACCTCCAATTATTTTGTTCTTTAACTTGGACACTCAATAAAAGTCTTCCATGTACTAGCTCATGCTGTTGGCTTGTTGACAGTTCTAATATTTTCAGCACAACATTTTCTCACTGTTTGAAGGTAGGAATTGTTGAAATAACTACTAACTACTTTATCAATTCCCAAGTTCTAGCATGTTGCATTCTTCGACATTGCCAATATTATGGTCATTTCCCACCATGTTAATGCTCCTTCTTTAATTTATGTGCCACTAACGTAATTGGTTGAGATATTCTGGAATTTCTAACTAATAAAAAACGTTCTAAACATTATGAATGGAATCAAGACACTTTTCAATGTATAATTGCCTATAGAGGCATAACAAGTCCATCTCCATCTTAAATCCTTGACCATTGTGACCTCGATTGTTATATCAGGAGTCATCTGCTCAAGAGTGAAGGAAGCTTTCGAAGAAAGTCTCTTTCAATGAATATAGGATGAATTCTGATATCATCTCACAAAGTGGTGTAAGTCTAACTCAATCTTATAAGACCAACTTGTAAGGTTAGGATTGCCACATATATTGCATTTTGGCACTATCTCCATTCGATGTAGGATTTGGGTTTTTACAATAGAAAGGGTTACTTTAAAAGGGGCTGAGTGTAGTGTTCTAGAGCGTATTCGTTACTCACAAGAGTGGTGTTGTGATAAAGACTATTAAGGGAGGTCAAAGTTCCAGATGGAGTTGTATGACATGCTCGATAGAGTAATTAAAATAAGGAGAGATTTGATAAAAAATCAGAATATATTATTCATTTTATGGTCAAACAATTACATCTCAGAAGACCTTAAATAGAACGCATCATAATTAGGAAATGAACTGAAAGAGGAAAACTCGGAACTTAATCTGAAAATAAAATCAAAACAGAAAACTAGAAAACTAACCTGATTATACAATTCCTAGACCTCTGTGCTGCTGTGTTAAATATATGTATATATACAAGTTTCTCACCTCTACTTTGTACGTGATTCTTTGGGCTCTTAGTTGTGCACTGATTTGGTAATTCCTACAATGTATGTGTTCCTGTGTTAAGTTTTTTGCTCGAAAGGAAAAACTTCAAGATAAAGAAAAATCTCAGATTGACTGAAAATAACAAATATTTCATATATTTTACTTGCACTTGATGTGTTTTTTACTTGCACTAGATGTGTTTTTTTCAAGTTAACCATGTTATGATTGCCTATTGGTAATTCCTAGAATGTATGTGTTCCTGTGTTAAGTTTTTTGCTCGAAAGGAAAAACTTCAAGATAAAGAAAAATCTCAGATTGACTGAAAATAACAAATATTTCATATATTTTACTTGCACTTGATGTGTTTTTTACTTGCACTAGATGTGTTTTTTTCAAGTTAACCATGTTATGATTGCCTATTGGTAATTCCTAGAATGTATGTGTTCCTGTGTTAAGTTTTTTGCTCGAAAGGAAAAACTTCAAGATAAAGAAAAATCTCAGATTGACTGAAAATAACAAATATTTCATATATTTTACTTGCACTTGATGTGTTTTTTACTTGCACTAGATGTGTTTTTTTCAAGTTAACCATGTTATGATTGCCTATCGATTTGAGCACTTGAAATCTCAATTGATGTTTGACTATGCAGTTTTGGAATTCATTATGAAAAGTGGTTTTTGAAACTTGCAGCTCACTTCATGCTTGAGTAATAGCTAACATATATTGTTTGCTGAAGAATTAACCACTGCTTGAACAGGCATTATCAAGAAGACAAGAACTGTCATGGAATGCTTGCACCGTTTCTGCAGGGAATGCATTGACAAATCAATGCGACTGGGGTAGGCTCCATGAATCCATTCCTGGCGTTTTATTTATTTATATAATATGCTACCAATGGTGCTCATAACACGTTATAGCCTCTGTTTGTAGCCACATTTCTCATTTATGTATCGTCTCAGGAATAATGAATGCCCTGCCTGCCGCACACATTGTGCCAGCCGTCGTTCCTTGAGAGATGATCCAAATTATGATGCCCTTATTGCTGCTTTATATCCAGATATTGAGAAGTACGAAGAAGAGGTATAAGTTGACCAGTTTATTGCTTCATTTGTTACTGTGTTTAGATAAAGGTAAAGCTTTCACAGAATTCAACTAATGATAACATTCACTATCCTGTTGCAGGAGCTTGAATTTCGTGAAGAGGAGAAGAACCGCAATAAGCAGGTGAAGATCTATTGATTAAGCATTTTAATTTAAGCATAATTTCAACATTCAGATGTGTGTAAAATACTTACATTGTTACAACTCGCAACAATTTTACTGATTGATGTTGAGTGATTGACAATCTGCATGGCTTCCATGAGCCCATAACATATCAACTCCTATATATATATATATATATTAATGAACATTTATTTCTTACTAAGTGTTTTGCTTGTGACTTATTAATTTTGATTCATACCAATGGTCTGTCAAGATTATCTCAATTGTCAAATATCAGCATTATAGCTTTTCTGGCAGATTCAAGCTTCAATAGCAAAAGTAGTTCAACGGCAATCAGAAGCACTTGTTAAGAGACGTAAAGATACACCAGGAGCATTTGTTACAAGATCACAGCGTAATCAACGAAACATTCATTCTAGGAGGCAAACCCTAGCAAATGAAGGATCCGAAGATAATGAGGAGGAAAATGAAAATAATGAAAAGGATTCATCTTCGGCTGATGAACGAAGTACAGAACACAGGCAGAAAAGGCGAAAGAGATGGGCTAGAGTTCGCCCCTCTCAACCCTCATCATCAATGGCAAGTCCAGATGGAGGCAATGATAGTGATATGGATGTAAGTAGAGAAAATCGTGGAATTTCAAGGCACGTGTCAAAACCTAGGAAGCTTACTTGGGGAAGGGGTGGTTTTCGAAGTCACACAAGACATGGCAGTGGTGGTGGTAGCAATAGCAAAAGTTCTCGTGGTAGTCGATTGTCTAAGTTTGTTGACCATCTCCGAAGCTTGGATGAAAACATTAATGAGGTATAGGCTATTTACTACTCCCTACCCTCGTGTAACAGGTGACAGATGTTACTGCTGAAATTCTTATTTGAGTTCAATTGAATAAAAGATGCTATATTTTTTTCACAGTTTGATGTCAGTCTCGTGCTTGTTTCTCTCGATCGTCAAAGTACACCAAGTTTGCCGCAACCTTACCTTTGCTGTCGACCAACTGTGTCTATTGGGCACCTTTACGAAGTAAGATCCTCTTATCTTTGACCAATTGTTTCTCGCAGTGGTAGTTCTTGTTAATTTGATCTTAAGTTTTTTAGGCCTCCAACAGAAGGCAAGTTTTGTTTTACACCATAATGTTGAAATTAGTACCTGACTTGGTTGTTTGCAACTGTCAGCTGAAGTTGCAAAGAATGTTTCATTAAAATATAAATGGTGTTAATCTGTTCCACCTTTATAAAAAGTACAAATGATTGATTAATATGCTTCTGTTAATGAGCCAGTGTTAGTTTTCTTCCTTTATGATGATTGTCTAACATTTGTATGCTTTCTGCATAGTATATTGCTCGTCAGACACCTTTTCCAGTTGAAGGAATCGAGATACTGGCAGTCAAAAGATGTCACAGTACCAATCGTGACAGGGCAGCTGATGACAATTCAATCCTGATATATGATGAGCTATCAACGCTGGTTATAGATCCACACAAAGATGAACTGGAAGTATTGCAAGAACATGAGACTCTGTCAGGGATTAGGTCCAAATGCATATCCAAGATGGGGCATTTGGTGAGTATCAAGGTGGTTTTCCCCCTAATAATATTCTTTTAGGTAACAACTGAATTTCACACATTTTTTTCTGCTGTTTCAGATTCTTGCATACAGGCGGAAGGAAGTTTCATAGTCTTGGTTTGATTGGCGGACATTTGACATTGACAATGCCCTAAATTTCTTTAGTATGTACATAATAAAAAGAACAGTTGCCTAATGCACCCTCATAAAAGAAAACAAAATCTTCAGCATACTAATTATAAGAACCTTCCAAAAGGTTATGCAAACATTGTGACATCTTCTGCAAGTTTAGATTTACCTTCTAAAATACTAGTTAGGTTTCAGTTTTACTTCCTGCTTTATGTATCAGTGTGTATCCAATCCGTCATTATGAGAACTATTAAGGAGTAGTATTATTGTGGCAAATTTCGTCTTCATTGTGGAAAATGAACATTTTATCCAAGGTTTGGTTTTGTTAAATAAAATATTAAGACATATACAAATGCCAACTCCAATGAAAAAATATTACGTTCATAAGCAATCGGTTAACTCAACATGCTACTCCAACTTCCTGTAATACATGGAACACGATACTCGCACATTTCTTGAGCACATATCTTCAAAATCATTCTAATGTAATGCTTTGATATTTTTTATTTATTTTTTAGTTATTAATACGAGGTCTTGTCTTTATGCAAAATTTACTTAATATGGAGAAAACTTTGATATTTTTATTTATTTTTAGTTATAAAGTTCACACATTGTGTATTTTAGGTTAATTTTTTCTTTGCTAAGTAAATATAATATAAAGAGTAAAAATAAAATAAAATTATTACAAACACGACTTACCCTGTACGCTTCTCGAATATTAAACTATAATAACATTTTCAGAATTAAAAGAGTTAAAATAAATGATATCGTAGTTAATTAAATAAGAATATGCAATTATTTTTTATATCCATTCACACGCCAAAAAAGTTGATTGATTAACAATCCCTAATATTAGAGGAAGGAAACTTCACTCTCTCTGGAGCACATATTCTTTCTGGCTAGATTCCTGAACTGCTACACTGCTCTGCAAATTTCTTCTGACATGCCAAGCAAATCCTCCAAAGTCGCAGGTATGAAAACCTAATTTTCAGGTGATGTCAAACCCACATTATTTTAATTTTCTGCTGCCAACTAATTCAGAAAGACTCTGATACTAACCTTTAGATACTGTTCTGACAAGACCTCCTCACACCCGTGACTTCATTTTTCTTCTAAATTCTATCTCAGTTACATCATTTTACGCGTCAAATTATACCATTCTACACGTTTTAACTTCTCTCACGTATCATAGCTTCAAATACATTGGAGATTGCCTTGTGAAAGGCTAATGAGTTACTTTCTTTGGTCTGGTATGTCACACTCATCCACCTTTTTTCCAAATTAACCATCTGTTTAATTAATTTTTACCATACGTTTTATTTATAACAGAATTTCTATTATATAATTTCGAAATTTATATTATTTTTTTAACCACTTAAAAACTAATACATTGTTATTTGAATATCTCTTTCTAGAATACATCAATATTTTACTCTAAGTTAAAAATATTAAAAATGAATAAATAATTAATTAACTATCAATCCATCCATTTTGTCTCCGTCTCACTTTATATTTTTCATAGTGATTCCTAATTATACGTAATTAAATGTTCTATGGATTTTTTTTAATTAGAAATTTCCACGAATATCATAAAAATTAATTGACCCTATAACGGGGTTAAGATATTGAGCCATAAACAAATTCTTTATTTTATAATTCAATATTCATAAACTACTTTTTTATTACTGTGAACAACTCCACTCTTAATTTTACCATCCTACTCAACAATTCTATAACTTTTCTTGAATAGACCTCGTTATTGACTGATTTTAATTACTAATCTCCATTTCAATTTAATATATTTCTATCAATTGTTTTCTTTTCCTCCATCATAAATACACAATTTAGCCGTTTCTACTTTCTCCTTTGTTTTAATGGACCTAACGATGTTTGCATTCAATGAAATTAATGGCCTTGAACTTGTCATAAGATCAGTTTGAAACCATTAATACAGACACAAACAAACAAATTAACAAGTCAAGAGTCACGTACATAATCTTGTCTCACTCTGTAAAGGGATGGTTGCTGTCATAATTATTTTTTAAATTAATTTATATCTGTTTTAAATAAATGTTTTCAAATTGTATTAAAAAATTATAATTTAAAATATTTATATAATAATATATAATAATAAATACATGTAATTAATTTAAAATTTGTAAAATATCTATTTTTATACATGAAAAAATTTAAATACTTTAAATGAAAATTATATTATATTATTTTTATTTGATAAAATAGAACGTTATTTTTCGTAATTTTCAATTTAAGTTATGAGAATAGAAATAATCATCCATATTTAAGATGAATAAGATAAATAATAAAAAGATGATGAATAAAAAAAATTAAAAAATAAGACTGTTTCTCATGATGGTTAACAGAATAAAAATTTTAAATTTTTTTTAATAAATTTTTATTTTATATATTATGTTTAGGAATGATTGTATTATAATAAAAATAATTTTTTATTAATTAAATTGGAATAATAACCACCTCAAGTAAATAATATTAAGAAATTTATACATAAGGAAGATATTTTAAAAAATTATTTTTTCAGCATCCTTTTTATTTGGTTGGGAAAAGATGTACGGACGAAACTATATTCTTTTACTTTTGAACCTCTGAATATAGGATATATTAAAAAAATAAAAACATTGGTCATGTAATTGCTAAATGAGCTTAAATCAGTAGTGCACGAAATTTAGATGTTTTTAAGTTGTATTAAAAAACTTGTAATTATTTTTCGCAATTTATTTCTCACGGATTTCGAAACATAGATTCAATTTTCATATATTTAGACAAACACATATAGAGAAGTTGAATGAGGAAGATTTTCAAAAATTGAGATGCATATTGCTTTTAACTTGTCGTAAACAAAAAAATGTTTGTTTCTTTAACTCGTTATTCCCTTTTTCAGATAATATTTATGATAAATGAATTTAGTTTTTTTTTCAATTAAAAATGATCTACTGAATTTTATATAGTAATAGTACAGTGGAATATATATGTCCATGCACTAAATCAATTTATGGTCCAACATACTAATCATACTAATATTCTGCAAAAAATATTTATACCATAAAAAACAATGCTAGAAATGAATCAAAGTGCTTAAACTAACCATCCCAAGTTAAAATGAGGAACAATTATTGATATTCATGAATTCTGTCCCTTGTGAGTTTTGAGTAGAGGTTGAGAAATCAAAACCTTTCTTTAGTATGCTATTTTCCTAAACTTCAGCGTGTCTACTGGTTTGAGCTTTGAATTGAGGAAGTGTCAGTTATGATTTCCTCCATTATGTGGATTGATTATTCTTTATTGGGAAAGAAAGTGCAGAATTTTTTTTAAGTGGGGATAGGCCTTAAAGTTTGCTCCCGTTCTTCTTTTTCCCCTAATTCTCTACCAGATGACCAGGGACTAATTTGTTTATATTAACCTCACACTATTCAAATCAACAGATTTTGGGACTTACATATTGAGATCAGTTTCAAACTGATATAATAATATATAACATTACTTGATAGCAGCAAAGACAAATGACTTCACCTCATCTTAACATGTCAAATGATGACACAAACTCAAATTTCTAAGATGAAAACCTCAGAAATCTGAACTTGTATACTTCATTTTTTGCCCATACGATTCTAGACCCATCCAAATCCAATGTTATATCGAGAAACTTATTTCTCTCTTAATAAAACCATGACATAATATTGTTGTTTAATTTTCAATTGTTACAATTAATTACAAACAAAATCAGTATAATTCACGGTTCATATACGTTATCACATCTCTTTTAAGGTTCAACCACTTCACTTCTTCAGTAGTTGAACCATTATTTTACTTTTTGACATCTTTTGTTATTATATCAGACTCATACTCTTGCTTTTATTACGCGTTATAACAGTGCTGAATAAACTTCTGATGAAACAGTATATGCAAAACTTGGTTTAAGCCAGGGAATTGGTCAAAATTTTTATGAACACTTCTTTTGAGTCAAAGGAGAGAAAAGAGAATAAAGAGAAACAAGTGCAATGAACCAACAATGGAATTTATAGTGAAGTGGAAGAAAGTCAGTTAGATGGAGCCCTCTTAAGCACAGCCCAACGTGATCTAGAATTTTCATGTTAGATGTCATGACAGCATCTCAAAATGGGATCCAAATCCTTCGACAGAGAGCTTGTAAGACAATGAATTATCAAACTGCCACATACCCTCTTTTGCATGCTCGTCCCAAATGCTACGCAGCCACGCACCCCCTTCACTGTCCCCACACACCATCCTTGTTACCTTTCTCTCTCTTCTCACTTTCTCTCTGCCAACCACCCTATATAACTCACCCCTTTGTTTCCCTCCACATAAACACACACACTCACCATTGTGACACACTTTCTTTCTTATTATTCTCTTTCTCTTTCATCATTCATCAAAAACACACACAAAGGTGGCCAACATGAGCAGTGTCTGTGCCGAGCAGCACAAGTTTCACCCCTCTCACCAATTCCACTCTCCAAAGAAAACACTCAAAGAGATTGACATCCCTCCAAGGAAGCTCCTCACTCGCCGCGCCGCCGCTGCATGCGGCGGCTCAGACTTGTTCTCCGATGACACCATGCTGCAAAAGTTCCTCCCTTCCAACAACCTTGATGACTCCGATGAGGACGACCCTTACTCCTCCGACCACTTCCGGATGTTTGAGTTCAAGGTCCGCCGGTGCACTCGCAGCCGGAGTCACGACTGGACTGACTGCCCTTTTGCTCACCCTGGCGAAAAGGCTCGCCGCCGTGACCCTCGGCGGTATCACTACTCAGGAACCGTGTGTCCTGAGTATCGCCGGGGAGGTTGCAGCCGTGGTGATGCATGTGAATACGCTCACGGTGTATTCGAGTGCTGGTTGCACCCTGCCAGATACAGAACAGAGGCCTGTAAGGATGGGAAGAACTGCAAGAGAAAGGTGTGTTTCTTTGCACACACACCTCGCCAGCTGAGAATTTTACCGGTAACTTCTTCTCCTTCTTCAAATGAAATGTCATGCAAGAAGAACATTAACAAGCTCTTCAGCCATGCTTCAAGATCCAACAACAACAACTGTTGTTTGTTTTGCCACTGTGTTTCTTCCTGTTCTTCTTCTTCTTCCACTGCTTCTCCAACTTCAACACTCTTCAACATGTCGCATTACTCTCCACCGCTATCACCATCGTCCTCCTCCTCACCACCTCCTTCTCCGTTGAAACCCCGAAACGGGGTTTCTGTTTCTCCAATTTCCCGTTATGGTGCTGTAAATGTAAACCCTCATCATGGGGTGGTGAGTTACAAAGAATCGTTCGCTGAATTTGTGAACTCCTTGGAGAGTTTGAGTTTGAACGAGGGTTCTCCTGTTTCCAGTGCCAAACCACCGAACTTGCCTTGGCTTGATGTTTCTCTCAACTGTGAAGAACAGCAGCAACAACAATCGTTTATTGCTTCTTCTTTTGGCTGCGAAGATCAGCAGCAGCAGTTTATTTTTTCACCATCGTCCACTCCGACACCGACAGATGTTAAGTTTTGCAGAAACAAATTCATAGGCCACGACAACAAGGTTGTCGGTGCTGACTCTAATGTCCCAGATCTCGCGTGGGTGAATGATTTGCTGATGTAGAATCTGAAGATGGGGACGAAAAGGGTAATGAGATGACTCATAATATAGTGACTGAAAATGTAAATACCGCGGAGGAACATAACGTGTCTCTGGCGTCTATTGCTATTGTTAATTATTGTTGCAAGTTCATTGCTTTCTGAATTTGTTGTTAAGTTTGCGACCATTTATGTAATTTGGATTTCAATCTTGTTTGAATGCATAAGGGAATATTTTGACTCATTGGGGATGGTGTTCTTTTTAAAAAAAGAAATATTCATAACTTTATTTTTTCTACTAAGTAGTGGTGGTGGTGAGTATTACGTGGTAAACCTACCTTGAAGAAGCTAAATCTTTGGGATGGGAAATCATGATATTTTGATGTTATGTTGGCCTTTACAAGTGCAGAAAGTGGATTCCAAGACATGGCAAGCATGCAATCTTTGTCGTGGCAACACATCATCACATATATAATGATAGGTAAAGATAAATCTCAGAAATTCTGTATTCTTTGACCATTTCGTCTCAGATTGAATACAAATTTTTGATGAGCACCCAAAATAGTTAATTGGTGAAGTGGATTGAAAATTGAAGACCCTTAAAGGTAAATGAAAGTATCTTTACAGGTGTAAATTTAAACATTGGCGTCCTTTATTCAGTATAGATATTAAAACTCTTCGATGGTCATTGTCCTTTAGCAAGGCAAGAAATGGAAAACCAAGTACAAGCTAAAATCTAGCACGTTTTGCTATTTTATTGCTCCATTAAATGCCTAATTGCGTTTATTAAAATGTAAACCCTCATCAAGTTAGTGGATAAGCGTGAACTTATGATAGTAAACAAAATCATCTTCATTCATCTTCCATAACTGATTTGAATCGAATTAAAATGCACTACTAAGAAAAATTAATTGTACATGTTTTAATTTTGTATACATATATATCAGTGTAAAGTAGAAGTCGGTTATATATATATATATATATATATATATATATATATATATATATATATATATATATATATATATATATATATATATATATATATATATATATATATATATATATATATATATATATATATATATATATATATACTTTTTTATCATTCATAATTTTGTTATTCTATTTGAATATTTATTTCAAACCTATAACTTTGACGTCCTAGCTTTGCTGCTTTTGATATACATATATTTTCTTACAGACAAAAGAGCTGTTGATACTTTGACGACTTAATAATTCAAAATAGTAAGCTCATCTGATTTCATTAATTGTGATATTTAAACGACAATTTTTCATTTATATTTAGTCGCAATTACAATTGGACAATTCTTTGAGTTTCGGATCAGATAAACTTTTGATGAGTTTAGATTGACATTGTAGTATATTTATATATTTTAAAACATTTAGATAAGCCTAGTAACCAATCCAATAAAACTGAAACATATATACATTTGTGCTATATATAATATATTCTTTTACACTACTTTTTGTTATCTCTTACTTTATTTACCCAATCTTTTAAACCACTTTTTGCTATCTCTTACAATATTTACCTCAATCTATATTTTTTTTTATTTATTTCACTTTTAAGTAAGGAGAATGTTAAAAAGCATAGGTAAGAAGAAAAGTTATAAGACAGAAGATTTCAAATGTTTCCGAAAGTATTTAGTTTCACAGGTTTTTGCAATTTGAGGAATAATAAGTGTAGAAGATTATTTGATTATTTGACATGGTCCTGCAGCGGAGGCTACCTTGGTTACCTAATGCATCTGTGTTCCTGTCACTAGTCTGGAAGATCTAAATTGTGTCCATCATTATTCTTCTCCCCATTTTTTAATAACTGAATTTCGTAATTATTTTTTGGGTGCAAAGTTGGATTCAAAGAATGCAGGTTTAAATGGAATTTTTTTTTCACCAAAAGAATTAGATCTTGAAAGAAGTCTGAGAATGCTGTGAATCAACATGAATAAAGTGACAAACCAATTGAAGATTCACGTCAAAATATAATTAATTTCATTTCGAGTTCAACTTAAACTGTAAAAGAAAAAAAAAATGTTGCGAAAGTTCATTATTATTCATGCCTGTATTTGGGGGGGGGAGAGTTCTAGGATTACTTTTGCACGCCAGAAAATTCTACACTACATTGATCTTCCATGGTGGTCCTGCGGTTGGAAAAATGGTAGAGATGCTTTTAAAGCCCTTTAATACTTGAGTTAGTTTCATAGTAAAATAGAGATAAAGATGCAGACAAAAAAAGTTAAAAGCAAAAGGGTCGTACTGCTGATGCGAGACACCTAAAATGGAGTGGAGATGGATCAACTGAAGCCAGTGTGAGATAGGTAGTAGGGGCCTACAACGCCACTTCTGAAATTCAATTTCATGAGTATTAATTTTTGGATCCAAAATGCATAAGGCAATTAATACAGGTCCGCGTTGTTAACTCGCTATCCATCCTTAAAATGAGTACATTATACGCCTTGTTAACTCACTATTTTTGCTCCTTAAAAGAAGGACATTAATTGATAGTGCAAACTTGGACAATGTAGCATTTGTTGATAGCGTCTTAGGATGCAATCATGCAGACTTATCCGAAAGACAGCTAGGGTGGTGGGGTAATAACCCATAGTGTTGTGTTTGGAATAACTCTTGTGGCCGGATTTGCTGGTTTGGGAGCTTGAGTTAGGTGGTGGTGCATAAACTCACACCAAATGGTATATCAAAAGGTACAACCCACGCTAAGACTACCCATTATAAGCTTTGAAGTCAACTAGCCTTTGCCTTCTTTGTTGATTTTCGTTTATAGAAGAAATTAAACAAGCATTTATGGGACTATTAGCTCTTATGATGCTTGCGGTTTTCGTGACCCGTGAATGAGTAACTGGGTGCTTTTTTGGCAATATGCGTATCTCTATTACTGCATGCAAAATGCATAGGCGGTTACTGACAGATTCTCTATTCTTGTCTTGACATGAAGTTTGATTTATTTCAATAATGCATCAATTTAAAATCAGTCAATTTAATTTTTCATATTATAAAGTTACCCTCCCCCCCCTCAATTTCCGCACACAATTTAGTTCCCAAAAGTAACACCAGTCAATCAAATATTTGACATTACAAAATCAATAAATTTAATAAAACTTCACAATCATTGTCAATTTAACAAAGGAATTTCTCAATTACCAACTGATATAATTCCTAATAGTCAAGACTAAATCAACTGACGCTCACACAACAAAGTCAAGAAAATATTAATTTCGTAATTTGAAGTACTACAGTAGCTGGTAATTGAAATTCCAGAGACTAATTACATTATTTACTCCATGCAATTTGCAGTGGTGGGGAATATACATGTAAGGGATTAAGTTCTCCCCTGCGATAGCATTAAAATTGTCACCAAATTTGTATTCATCTGCAACCTGCATATTAGTATGTTAATGTTTCTGTTCTCATTATCATTTTCCAGATGCTTCCACAAAGGAAAACTGACTGACAAGGAATTTAGCATTCCTTGACCTGCCCAGTTTCTTGAATGGCCATCAGTTGGCTTACTCTTGAATAAATGCAATATAACCCTAACAGGATAACATCATAAGATGCAGAATGTATTCCAATGGGGGGGAGGAATCATGTGTCTCCAACCAGAGGTTGAAAAACAAAAAAATAGTAATAATATAAAACAAATCAGACAAACTATAGAATTGTGAAAATTCATTTCCTTTTCGCTTTATACCGACAGTCATCTAATGGCACTTCAGAGAAGCCCAATTTACACAAATAACATTAGTATACACGTAATTAAAAATGTACTTCGTTAGTTTCGATCAAAGTGGATATACAACTAAGATGAGGCATCTGGTTTGCTTTACCAATTGCTCCTTAATCTCAGTTGTCCTTTCTTGTGTAGTTAGACAGCGATGATCTTGATTGTGACTGGAAAAAATCAAATGGTGATCCTGCTCCGAAAGATCTTCTGGTGGCATTCGGGGAATCTGACAACAGAGGTTCGTACACAGGATTTCTGTTTTTGGCTTGTGTTATTGACAAGGTAGAAACATCTTTCTCTATAGATCTCGGCTGAGGCTCAATGGTGCCAAGAGACAAAATTGGACCACCCAGACGTTCAGCTTGCTGCAGGGTATTGATTTTGCTCGGTCTATATGTATATCGGAAGTACTTGATAGCTAAAATGGGACCCATCCCTGCCGCAACCATGAGCTGTATGGAACAATAGTTTCCATCAAACCATAACCAGCGCATTTTAAGCTAAAAATAAAATGTGAATGAACTTGGCTCCTCCCTGGGACCATGTGATCTACGTTGATGTATTTCACAGGTAAAGAAATAGATGTGGCAATTTTATCAGGAAAAATAAAGGAACTAAATGTCATAATGTGAATGAATTTTTCATAGGCAGAGAAATAGACGTGAGTTTTATCAGGAAAAAAAAAGGAACTCAATATCATACAGTTTTGGGATAAGATTCTTGAAGAATGTGAAATCTCGTGATCTAACATTGGAAAGGAGAACAAAGAAATAAAATGGTTAAGTTTGATTTGTTTTACAGGAAATTACAAAAAGATCTTTATTTTTATCGTGTTTCCAATTTTAAACAAAATACAAAAACAAAACCTTGAATGCAGCCCTGATGAAAGTATAAAAGGAAGAAAAGGAGGAATGAGAGTGAAGAACTTAATAAGGTGAGAGAGGGTAAGAAGCTACTTACAGAAATTGCGATCCAATAAGACGGCTGATGACACAACTTAAACATAATTGTATACATCCCTGATGAAGGAAGGGCGCTGAAGATCCAGTTAATGACATAAAAGGCAGCCAAATTACCCCATATGGCCAAATGTTGCAATATAGTAAAGGAACTGTAGGCATAAAAAATAAGAGTCAGGTAATCAAACCAGAAAAAAACTTCCCCTGCAAGTTAAAGCAGATGCTTTTCAACTAAAATAACACTTTTCCGAATTTCCCAGTCAACTAAATAACATTTGCAACCTAGCAAAATATGGGAACCGTATACCCCAGATAGCTCTTTTGATTCATTACTAACAGCATATTACTAACAGCATAGCACTCTAAATCGAAGTAACAGTTGCAATGACTACCAATGTTAAAACTTACTTGGTCTCCATTGTTACTACAAAAGCCTGTAACCATATACAACCCGAAAGTGCAACCATTGAAACCTCCTCCATTTCACTTTTATCATAAGCATAGGCATGTATGCTTATCACAAATACAACTATTGCCTGCAAATAACAATCAATACTGATCAAAAGTGAATAGGAAAATATAAAATGTTCTTGGAACTAAATTTAAAACAAAGCTAATAACTCAAATTTTTTTAGCAGAACAGTATTTCTTTTTTAATTATTTATACTGACACGGACACCATCTTCAATTTATTTATTTATTTATTTATTATTCTTTATTAAATTTTTAATTGATGTTTTAATTTTCCACCCTAGGTCCTGTCGTAGGCAGCAACACCATCTGCCATATGTATATGGCAGAATTTTGGCTTGCATCGGTAGTCTACTGCCATTAACAATACTGTTCATCAATTATCATGGTGATAAGCTTCCTATTAACTAATCATCTCAGTAATTTATAAATAAGTAGTCAATATCAAATAACACTTACATGGAAGAGAGATCGCCCAAACCATCCAGCAAATGTACTAGGATTCAGAAGCCTGTTTCAATAGTTATGGTCAATGCTAACCCAATGAAATCGCTATAAATTTTTTTCCATTTTGGGTTCATTCAAGGGTTACTCAGTTGTAATACATTTTTATTGTTCTGTTATCTATAACAAAAAGCAGCACAATTACAAACCTTCCCGCTTGGCAGTAAAATAAAATTTGAGGATGTTGCATCACAGTTTCCTCACTAAGATCTTTGTCAAGTACACTGACTAGAACAGGAACACTGGTGTAGAAAACATTATAAGCCATCAAGCTAACAGAATTGAAGAGGCTAGTTCCAGAGACACCTGAAATAAATGAAAAACTGGAGATGCAATCATCAGTACCTTTAAAACTGGAGAACAAATAAATATAAAGCAGATCGGAATGCCTTTCTTGCATTACTACATTCTGATAAGGACTTCGGTGTTCCTCAAATGTTTGGCGGATTTTGTTTGGTTCTCCCCCCTTTACAGTAAGAGTGGGTTCCTCAAATGTTTGAGAGCTTATCAATTTGGTATTAGAGTTAATGATATTTTGAAAAAACATACCTAATGAGGGTTGTGACCGACAAGAAAATTGAGTGTTACCAAGTAAAATGTTGTAAAGTGCATGTCGTTGCCAAAGAAACTCACAAGATTTGAATGAAGCAAATCAGTAGGGACTTGTAGAATGAATATTGAGAAAGAAATGCTGTACGATTGTATGAGTAACGGCCATGGACCAGAATTAATCTCTTCAGGAATCTAAACTCTGAAAATTAACAGAATAATCATAACATCAAAGAGATGAAATCTGGCAGTTATAAGCAACTAATGAAGGAATGAGAAACACTAGTCTTCCCTGTCTAATTCCAATCACTGAAAAATATTAATTTGTAGAAGAGCTTGCAATCAAATTATAGTTGTCAAGAATAACGTGGAAAAGGTTATTGATAAATGTTTAGATACAGAAAAACATTATGATTGTACTTAGGGAACTGTGCTGAAGGACTAGTATATATCATGATTGCACCAACAAAAGGAGAAAAATGGCTTACTTCCAATACTGTAATCAGCTGCTCTTGCTGCCTGCAATCCTTCTCTGCCACTGATGCCCACACCAATATCAGCTTGTTGTATCATCCTTACATCATTCCCACCATCACCAATAGCCAATGTTCTATAGTCACATGATTTTAAGATCTGAACAAGCTGAAACAAGAAATAGTATACAAGATAAATCAGTTCCATTATTTTCTGATATATGAGGATGGAAATAATACAAATAGCAGTATTTCGTTCCCATCAGAGCTAAGATGTTGGTCTTATCATCCCCATTCTTATTGCAATAAGTTAATTAAAAGGAGCTATGATAGCACAAGTCTAGTATATAATACCCCTTATTAACATAGATGACAACTAAAACTGAAAGGAGTGTGCAAAGCTTAACTTATAAAACAGGAGTAACATATAATAATAGTAAGCAGATAAAATGATAAAAAAAACCTGTGCTTTTTGTGATGGTGTTACGCGACAACATATAGCAGTTCTTGACAAAACTGCCAGCTCAGTGAAAGCTTTACGATAGTGGGTAAGTGCGATCTCAAGTGCCCAACCATCAACAACAAAAGCCACATCCTATTTGAGAGAAGAATGATCAGATGAATTCTAAAACCTTTAAAATTATCTTGATCTCAATACATGTTTGCTAAAATGGTGTCCTAGTTAGAAGACAAAATGTGTCTGTACAAGTTGCTCACCACTAGATTTTATTTTATTTTAGATATCAAAAATAAATTTATTGGAGAAGAGAAAGGGATAAAAAAGGTGCAAAAGCAAAAAATTAGATATCCTCCCATGAAGCTTATCCAAGGATGTTTTTTATTTACATTTGTGTCTTTTGGAAAGAGACACTAAATTAAGTTCTTAAGGCAAAGAAAGTACGACTGTTTTACCAATAGTTTAAACTCTATTAGAAGACGTTTCAACTTATATTCTTACTATTGTAATTTCTATTACAAATGGCCAAATATTCTTATTTACCAATCTATTCAATGCTGTCATAAAAAATAGAAACCACAAAATACAAAAATTGATAATGATCAAGAAAAGCAAAATTAGTGGATTCTAAGATGATACAGATACTAATTAGCAGTACCTTGGGTTCTGAGGTAGTTATCCGCATTGTTCGTAGCACTCTCTCTAAACTCCTACAAACCTCTTCCTCAGTCTTGCCATCAATTGATAGAAGCTGTCCCTTTGGTTCTGTTAATTTTTGGGAAGGGGATTGTAAGAATTAAGGCTCCTCAGTATTACCACCATTAATTAAAAACCTTCCAAAGAAGGATCCATAATACTAATCAAACAATAAAATTTAAAGCAATTTGTACAAACACATTCAAAAGCTCTTAAAAAAATGGGACTATTTGTGCAACAGATAGTTTCACTTTTAAAGCATCCTGAATAGGACTTGACATATTTCAAAATCAGAGAAGGTATATTTCTAGATATTTCTTTATTCGAGTTCTTAAATCATTCCAATTGATAAAAGCTATCCCTTCAGTTATTAGTTTTAGGGGGAGGGAATTGTAAGAATAAAGGCTCTTCAGTACTACCATCATAAATTAATAACTTTCCAATGAAGTATCCATAACATTAATCAAATACTACCATTTTAAGCAATTTGTTAACACAAACATAGCCAAGAGAAAACAGGATTACATGCATAACAGATAGTGAGGTTAAAGTTGAAAAAGTAATCTTATTTGTGTTGGTAGCCACGTTGTTAACCAGAAGCCGCACATTTCGAAGCATAAAGTCAAATAAGGTATTCTAATAATATCCTGATTTTGAGGTATTATGTCATTCCAATTATCAGTGTCTTCAGAGAGCTAGTGATTAATAAACTTAAATTAGTATGTTTTTCTGACTACGTTTTGAAATGATGATCATATCAAGTTGTATTATGGCTTTGAACTTCAGTGCACAATTAATCAGTATTTACATTATTTATTAAATTTGTATGTATCCTGAATAGGACATCAAGATATTTTCAAATTCAAATAAGGTATTCTAGATACTTCCTTATTTAAGTATTACATCTGTTAGATATTATTTAGATATTATTTAATATTGATAAGATATTGTTAGATATTGTTAACCACAATATCAAATAATATCTTCTGTTTATTTTGTTACTTTTAGTTACTCTTTTAGCTGTATCTCTCTATTATAAATAGATTACCCTATGTGTAATTTATACACAAGGGAGATTAATCTCAAACTCTATTTCTTCTATATTCAACATGGTATCTAGAGCTTAAGGTTATTTTGAAATTTTTTTCGCCTTTGACCACTGTTGGAGTCGCCACCGCCGCCGCTATCGCTGCCGGTTAAACTGATCTTCTACATAAGAAAAGAGTTATTTTTGTTATTGGATATTATTTAGTAGTGTGAAAGTGCATGTCTAGGAAGGTTCTGACAAGGAAAGACTTGGTATTTAAGCGTGTCCATTAGTGACCCACCTCTCTTTCCTGGGAACTTACCTGGTGTACTGGTTCACGCCACTGTCACTGCCGCCTCCGCCCTTTATGACTTCTTTCGCTCCTTCTAGTACTTCCAATTCTGACAGTACTGCGTTTTATCCTTCCATCTACACTAACTATGTTAATGTGCACTTATCCATTGATAAGTTAACTGACCTTAATTATGCCACATGGTCATCAGACGTCAAATTATGGCTTAAGAGTCAGAAGTATCTTGATCATCTTGCCCCGAAAGCACCTACACTCACTCCTGGTGAGGAAGACCGTTGGGACACCATTGATGCCCAATTATGTGTGGTTCTCAAGGGTACTCTTGATCCTTCGTTAAAACAAATTTTTCGTTCCTATGAAACATGTGCCAAAATCTGGGAACATGCCAAATTATGATACACCAATGATACTCGTCTCTATGATGTCTGTTATAAATTTGTAGATGTTATTGCATCTAAACATCAAGATTTTATGACTGATTATATGGGTAAAATTCATGCTCTTTTTCATGAGTTCAATGAGTTATTGCCTCCTTCACCCCGACCCTGCCACCGAGATAGCACAACGATCAAAGTTCTTCATGCTAGGGTCATTACACGGACTTGCTGATCAATATTCACAACAATGATGTTATGCATTATATGGTCGTCCTCCTCGATTTGTTACAGTTGTTTAGACTGATCTTTCCCCACCTTTATATGCTAAGGATTCTCCTTCTTTTATTTCATCTGACACACTTGTTATGTTCAACAAATTTCTCAAATGATATAAGGATCAACAGTCTTCAAGTTCCACTGTGTCTGTCGCACACACAGGTACATCTTTTGCTGGTCTGACCCAATCTTCTTCTGATCCTTGGGTTTTTTATTCAGGAGCCACTGATCATATTACTGGTAATAAATATTTGTTCTCCTCTTTATCCTCTCCTAATCCTTTACCTTCTGTTACACTAGCTGATAGCTCTAAAGTATCATCTCATGGTGTTAGAATTGTTAAACTTTTCCTTTCTTTAACCATTGATAATGTCCTTTTAACCTGTTATCCATCAATCGTCTAACTCGTTCTCTTGATTGTATTGTTTCTTTTACCAACAATTTTGTGTGTTTACAGGACCGGAGTTCAAAATAGGTGATTGGCACAGGATGTGAGTCTCATGGTCTTTATCATCTTCATCCCTTTACACATGTTGGTACAGTTATGGAGTCTCCCTCTCTTCTTCATGCTCAGTTAGGTCATCCAAGTCTTGAAGTTACAGTAGCTTGTCCCTGCCTTATCTA